AGCAGCAGCTTACACAGCAGCTTGTAGCAGCTTACACAACAGCTTGTAGTAGTAGCTTACACAGCAGCTTATAGTAGCTTACACTGCAGCTTGTAGTAACAGCTTACACAACAGTTTGTAGTAGCAGCTTACAGAGCAGCTTCCTTTCTTCTATAAATAGAAGAGATTTCAGTTCATTATGTACATCAGTTTGAATTCGAATAATATATCAGTTTCTCTCTATACTTGTCTTTACTTTATAGTCTTTATTTCATAACACTTATATGAATATTTCACTCTTCACGATCACTAGTTCTTGAATATACGTTGAATGCTTAATTTAATCACTTAAAAGAAAGAAAATATCACCGTAATTCTAAGGCTACTGTTAAATGATAGTAACTCGCATGAATTCTCTCTTTCTTTTAAAAAAAGGAATTTGAAATTTATGTGAATTACACGATAATGTGGAAGAAACCTATTATAAATGGCCAAAATTTCGTTTAGACTGATTCTGGTAAATGTCTTCTCAAGAAATTATTTTCTGGTTTACAATAAGGGGAAAAAGAATTTATTGCACAACTAACGCTTCTTTATGATTTTCTCTAGTCTATTTCTTTTTAAAACATAAGCTCCACTTTTAGGACTCTCAACTATCACCTAACACCACAATCATCATAATTATAGCCATCAACCTTTGTTTCAGTTGAAAGATAACGACATAACGTGGATAGTAATTGTCTTTCATATAATATTTTTTTTCACTAATGTACATTTTACAGAACAGATTCTACGTCGTACGTGGTCCATTTGCAGATGTCCATTTGAGGAAACAAAGAGAACTACATTCAAAAGCACTAATCAAATTCCTGAAATTAGTCAAAATATATATTCCTACTAAAGTTGTCTTGCTCATTGTGATACAATGATTTTGGCAGTTAAAATTACTATTTTTCAATTTCCATTATGGTAGATCATTAATTTTTGTAAGATTCAAAGCATCATGTGCAAGCAAAAAAAGGGTTATTATATTAAATATTACATATTAAGTGAACAAGGAAGATAAATTTATACCTGAAAAATAGGAAGCAATGGAGAGTTCAAATCACTACGCAAGTCCTGAAAAAGTTTCTCCAATTTGCTCTTGTAAGACTTTGCTTCTTCCCAAGTTAATGTATCTCTTTCCCCTTGATACCAAGAATTGCTCTAATTGTTCCACCACCATGCACGGCTATTCTCGCTCTTTTAACCATCTCATTGTATAGCCTTCGCAAAGAAGTAGTGAGTTCTGAATGAGTATAATCTTATTAGATGTATTTCATTATATATAACGTAATTTTTATTTCTTCTATAACTATACGTGATTCCAGTTGAAATCAATGGGTTCAATTGTACGAGTTGCATCTGATGTATCTAATATATGTTAAAGCGAGATAAGATGTGTACCTGGAACCCTGTGACCATTTATCGATGCTCGTCCCTCCAGCCGCGCAAGGGACTAACCCTATGATCCCGAATTCTGGGTCCTTCTCCAAGATATCGTTGGCAAACACCATGGTTGGTCCTATCCCACAAGTTTTGTTCAAGTCAATGTCATAATGTAGAGGCTCTTGGGCTACTTCCCATATTGAGTTTCCGTTCAGCCGGAGGATCGCCGGATTCCGGCGACATTCCGGTGGTACATAGCCATCCCAAACTTTGTCAACTACCCCTCCTCGTCCAGCCATGTTACTTTGTCCGGCTAGTATGAATATTTGTTTTTTGTGCTTAGTTTCGAATATTGTACAATTCATCACCCATAGGATATATGCTAAAAGCACGAAAAGTATTAAGTGAAAAGTTAATCTCTTATATCTAACTTTTGATTGCATCATTTAATATTGATGATAAATTTAAGCACGAAAGAGAAAAATTTAATCAAGAAAAGAAAATTTAATACAATGGATTTAATTTTTTCCCCTTGGAAACTGATTAAAAAAGGGGATGAGAAAGGGGGAGGCTTTTGACTAGTATATACTACTAGTTGGATTTAACAATCTTGTTTTAGTTGCAGGAGGCCAGAGAAGTACATAATTTTAATTCAATCTCCAAAAAGGAATTGGAAAGCAGTCATAAAGCGTTGTGATTTCTAATGCCAATTGACTTTCCAATTCTGGAAACAAACACTAAAAGGAAAGAGATTAAAAAAAAAATTCATCATAGTGAATTCTTGTCCTAAAAATACATTCCGGTAGTTGATTCTTGTTACCTAGTAGGAAAAATATTTTAATAAATAAAATTAATATGATTTATAAGAGAAACTAGTTATGCTCTTTGAAAAATAAAATTCACATGAGAACTAGTATTTATTACGTGTGAAACAGATAAAGAAAGACGGTCCTACCATATTTGATACTCTTATCTTGCATCTGTTTTTCTTTACCTTTCGCATTACATAGTTTTATGTTTTGCTAATTTTGGTTCTCTCTAGTATAGGAAATTTTTAAATGTTTTTGGGGTTTTCCATCTTCATAGTATGGTATTTTATTAACATCTAACATATGATAGAGCCATAGAGACATATAGGAAATTAATGCCATTGAAGCCTTAGAAAAATAGTTATTTGTCATTAGTTAATAGGCATTTATAAAATGAAAAAGTTATTGGGTGTATTGGTTGAGAGAGCAAAGAGGCGCAGGAGGCATTGTGTCAAAAGATTGATTCTACCATTTGGAACAATCTTATTATCATTGATGATGTATATATTCTTGTTATATTTACGGATAATTTATAATAACATGGAGCTTAAATTCATTACCAATAGTTGATAGATTCCATCTTGATCAATCACTAATTCTACAAGCATTTAATTATACTAAATATCCTTTCAACCATGGCTCTAGAGCCATATGTGTTTAGTATCAAAGTACAAAAAATAACTTGTCAATTACTATGACGATCTCAGGTCAAAGGAAACTCTTACATCACATTCTTCAAGAGAATATCTTATTGACAGTTTATGGTAATTCTAACCTTTAGGAATTATCCAATGAGTAAGTTCAATGATCATATCTCCATATGTATCATCTATCTATGTTATTTAGTTAATGAGATCAACTAATCTTTATCCCATAAAGACGATCATATAAATATTGATCTAACTGGATTACTAATGTCCAAATTAATAATCTTAGGATCAAGAACAAAATTTAGATTAAATTATAGAAAACTTCACTCTCATTATCATGATCTCCATCACGATGGTAAGTATCAAAATTTAATCAATGACCTTATTAAATTAATCAAGCAATTAATAATAACTATGAAAAAAGAATATCAAATGCCATATATTTTTATATTAAATAACGTTCACAAAAATATGTCCAAATCATCAAATCTGAGAATGGATCTAGGGCATATTTACTATATCCCTAACAATCTCCTACTTGCACTAGAGCCAATCGCTCTTGTACTTCATTCCCAATTTCTACCAGTGCTTGTCAAACTCCTTTGCGCCAAGAGCTTTAGTGAATGGGTCTGCAGCATTTTCCTTTCCATCAACCTTTTGAATCTGGACGTCTCCACGTTCAATGATTTCTCTTATCAAGTGATACCTTCGCAGAACGTGTTTGGATTTTTGGTGTGATCTTGGTTCTTTTGCTTGAGCAATGGCTCCAGTATTATCAGACAATAATAGAACTGCACCTTCTAGTGAAGGACCACACCAAGTTCAGTTAAGAAATTTTTCATCCATACAACTTCCTTAGCAGCTTCACTAGCTGCTATATACTTTGCTTCAGCCACAGAATCAACTACTGTAGTTTATTTGAAACTTTTCCAACTCACTGAGGTGAATACATAACCAGAAATAGATTTGCTATCATCTTTATCTAAAGAGAAACTTGCATCGGTATAACCTTCAAGTTTCAACGCAGAATCTCCATAAATGAGGAATTGGTCTTTAGTCCTTCTTAAGTACTTAAGAATGGTCTTTACCACCTTCTAATGTTCCTCACCAAGATTTGCCTGATATCTTCTAGTCACTCCAAGTGCATAAGCCACATCAAGATGTGTACATATCATGGTATACATGGTAGCTCCCACTACACTAGCGTATGTGATCCTACTCATTCGGTCTCTCTTTTCAAGTGTTTTAGGACAATCCTCCCTATTGAGAGTAATTCCAGTGCCTATTGGTAGATAGCCTCTTTGGAATTATCCATGCTATACCTTTTCAAAATGGTATGAATGTACAAAGACTGGAAAAGTCCAAACAACTTCCTTTATCTATCTCTATAGATCTTTATTCCTAATATATAAGCTGCTTCTCCCAAGTCTTTCATGGAGAGCTATTCAGATAGCCAAATCTTAGTACTTTGTGAAAGTACAAGAGGGGGGGGGGAGGGGTGAATTGCGGTCTGTTAAAAACTTAGTCGACTAACGATGATTTTAGTTGACTAGATCGAGAGCAGAAGTAAAGTGACAGTAAACAAATAAAGGAAGACACACAACAATTTTATCTCTAGTTTGGTACCGGTACGATACTTACATCCAGTTTTCCTTGGGTCACAAGGGTTCATTTTAAATTTTGAAAGAATTACAACATGGATGGTTTTGATTTGTTCACTACCAACGAAGTACAGTAATCAGTGAATCTTAATAATGACACAACTCTTTTTTGTGTTCTAACTTCTTCCTATCTTTTGAGATATTGATCAACTTTAGATTACAGTGTTTAGGCTAAGAAGTAGGGAGACTTAGAATACAATGTATATAGTTGCGCAAGTTTTCCTATTGAACCAAGCAACCTTCTTATAGAAGAGGAAAATAGCTCTTGAGTCCTTGACCAGAAATAGAGGCACGAGATCTTTGAAAGGATTTGACCCAAGGGGTGCCTCTTCGAATTCTGCTCTTTGGGAAAGACTAGATTCGATCGACTTTCCTTTGTCACAGATTTTCATTTACGAGACAGTCAATCCCTTGACTGAGCTTCAATTGAGTAGGTTGAGTATGGCAATAACTCCTTTATTGGAAAACTAATTGCCATGATTGTGGCCGAGTAGATCAGCAGCCTTTTGGTTCCTTCTATAGGTCCATTGATTTAGCAGTCACACCTTATTCCTTTTCTTTTCCTTTTGATGATTTCTGCGAAATAGAACATTTAAACATTGTTATCATTGAAACCTTAGAATTTAACTTAACAATCTTCCCCTTTTTGATGATGACAATTACGAGAGAATAAACATTAATAAAAATTATAAGCATTAACTATGAAACTTTCCTTATTTCTACCTTGATGCTTGCTCCCCGTGAGAGCTCCCCCTGGCTTGATGCATGCTCCCCTTGAGAGGTTGAATTGCTGCTCAAACCTATTTACTTCTCTTACCCTGTTCTCCCCCTTTGACATCAATCAAAAAGGGAAAGAAAACGACACAAGCAAGAGTAAGATAGGAAGTAATGTACACAATAACTAGCTAAATAGTGCAACAAAAGTAATGCCTTCAGCAGAGGCATATGTTATACAAACCCAAGAAAAAGAAAGTTTATAAAAACCACTAGCAAGCAAGCAAAAAAAATTGTTTTAAAACCCATCACACGAGTACACATTAGTGCCTTCCCAGGAACTACTTGAGGGTGTTGATTACTTTGGTGCAGAAGGAGTCATAGGAATTCTCGACATCTTTGACTAGCTTATCATTTTTTCAGTCATAGAATTGAAAGCCCTGATTCCTTGTCTCTGCGTAGCTCCTATATCTATTCTGACTTAGCCACATCTGTACCTGTCTCCTTAGTGACTTCCCTGATTTTCTCCACCTGTTCCTTCATCTCAAACAATGGCATGTTTTACCTCATCCAAATATTTCTGCATTGGCTGAAGATTTTGAGAGGGAGTCGACTGAGATGCTGGTTGTTCGGTTTGAACTTCAACTAACACTAGAATACTGTCAACTTTGGCGCGTTTAACCCATCCATCATCACTGAAGGTGTACCCCATTATTGAAAAAGTTGTTTTATCATAAGTGCTGGTAATGTGCTTGGGTGTAAAGGGTGCCAAATCTACCTTCATAACTTCGTGGATGTGTGAGATGAGCAGACCATATGGAAAACAGGCAGCAGAGGAAGATATGTCCATAATACTTTCAAGCATGTATTGGCGAATCCACATAAACCAATCCAGTCTTTTATTATTAACAAGACAGTAAAGGACAAACACATCCCTAGTGGATAAAGAACTAGGGGACCCAGTTCTGGGGAGTAGAGTGGTAGAAATCATGTGGGCCAAGACACGACGTTCAAACTTTAGGTTCTTGGGGCCAATATCAGGGGGATTATCAGATAAAAATACTTTAGCTTCATCAAAGGATACTTCAAAATCTTTTGGCCAAGAATTTTGCACAAAAATATCAAACCCACTGAACTTAGCGGAGAAAATCTTTTCAAATTAATAAGAGTCTAGAACAATTCTAGTGCCTAATACCATAGATTCCAGGTCATCTTTGTCAGTTACAAAAGATTTGCATAGAACATCCTCAAAAGTTCCTCATAAACGGAGTTACCAACAGTGTTGGACAGAGAAGAAAGATGTTGAAAATCAAATATAGAGGTCACATCACAGAACAAATTTTTCATGAGAGAAAGATTTATAGAACGTCCATAAGCCATCGATTTTGACTTGTAGGACTCAAACCTTACTTTTTCACTTGGGCCATAAAAGATCAACTTGTCCTCAGGTCTGAATTCAGTGTTT